AAGCCACATTAAGAGAATTTAATTAAATCTCTCATTTGTTGTGCATTTCTGCACAATGCAGCAGATTTAAGCCATCATGCAGGGCCGGTCCAAGGCTGTATGAGGCCTGTTATGTCAAAACTTTGTTTTATTTCAATCAATCAATCAAAGCTATAAAGCACCCTTCATGTTGAAGGCAGTTCGCTGGAAACGCATAATAAAGGTTATTTCTGAACTGGGTTTGAACCATCAGGATCACGGTAAACTGAAACTGGTGGGATTCTCCCTTTTTCTCCCATCTCTGCAAGAGGGCTGGTGGATATTGAAAGCGATGTCCTTTTATCTTTTCTTCACTTCCCTGGACTTGCCCGTAGAGCTATTGCTATATTCTTTGCTAATTTCTTAATAAAATAATAATCAAATGCATTTTGATTTGTTCTTCATTGACACAGTGTTTCACCTTAGGTAAGACTTATTTATTTCCTTAACAGGTCTTAAACAGAATCTGATTTAGGGGCCCCTCTTGCTGCTAAAACATCAGCACCGCTAACAGATTCTGTATTACATTTAATCTGAGAGGGGAGCAGATTAACTGGGCAACCTAAAAACAATAAGTTAGTTTACTAATTTGAACAAACAGAGCTCAAACTCAAAGATTAAACTCACAGCATCAGGTTGTAGCTATGGTAACAAAACAATCTAACTATGAATATTATTCTTTGTTTTATATTTGTTTACAATAATATTTGTTAACAACAGCCCTAGTTTATGACTAGATATAGCTCTATGCTGACTAGACAAAATATGTATTTGAAATATCTCCAAAGAAATTCTGAAAAGAATAAATGACATCAGATTTACTATGATGTTTCATGGAGGTTTTAATTCAAGAACTATACAGTGAATTACTGTCTGAAACATATTTCATAATTAATAGAATATTTAAAAATAGAATATTTTATTCAAAGGCATCTTTCTTGATGCTCAAGCACACAGAACAAAATACATAAAATCAATTTTTTGATCATGAGAAAAGCTCATGGTCAAAAAGAATCACCAATATAAAACTGAATTAAAATTGCCATACATCTTAAATCTGATGTTATTTATATTAGTCGGGATGTAAATAAATTTACTTCAGACATATTTTGTCTGGTCAAAATCATAATTATATTGTTTTAACATATGTAGTCAGAAATTAATTTTAGATACATAGAGTGAAAAATTGGTAAAGCCCATTTAATGATAGAAATGCCTGCCTCAGCAAAGGCTGATGGACTTTATGGAATAATAATAATAATATTTAACAATATATTTTTTAATCCTCCCGAAGTCCAACCCGTGCTCTGTTTCTGTCTTATCAGTTAATTTAATTCTGTAAAATATTCATCCTAATTCGGTCTCACATATTGTTTCCTTTAATCTGTCTCGTGTTTTTCCTCCAGCTTTTCTCCGCTTTCGTGCCTCATATCATCAGTAAAACGTGAAGGTGTTTCGTACCTATCCGGTGTAAGATGATCTTCGGTATCCGGCTAAAATCCAGCAGTCTGCGCTGATCCTCCATCTTTTCCTCCAACTTGACGCTGATTTCTTCAAACTCTGTGAATGATATTTCAGCAGGAGTTAACAGCTCGTTGATAAACTCTCTCTGAGGCGGAACTGAAGACATTTTACAGCAAATACTCACATATTTACCTAAAACTAGCGATGTGCTTTCTGTACCGAGGCTTCGGGGCCTGCGTCGAGTAAACAAACAGGATTTTTGTGAAGAGTGTATCAAGGCTTCTGTTGCTGGAGCAGGATGTGACGTTTGAAACCGCGCGAGTGGGCCGTACCACGTGACTGAGTATACAATTTAAAAAATTATACAAACTACTGAAAGAAGCAATTTTCTAAAACTCCACTAGCAACCAACCTTTCAATAAAATTCGAATTTATTTTCTTAAAATATTCAATATCACTGAATATTGAAAGTGAAGGAACGAAGCGGAAAAATCAAAGAGGAACCAAAAGTTCGAGCAACAGTGACACACACGGAAGATAAAGACAAAGGACAGATTGTAGCGTTAGCCTTTCTGCTGTAGGACGGTAGTTTGAAGAACGGTTTGGTGTTTTATGTACATATTTGAGAGATTTTAGTGGGGTGAAATCCGTTCAGCTTCTTTTACCAACGGGCAGGTAACTCCTGCTGAAGAAACATTCACAGAGTTGAAAGAATGTAACGTCAAGTCCGACGAAGAGATGAATGATAAATATGCTCTGCTGGATTCCGCCAGGACACCAGTGATCATTTTACGCCGAATAGGTACGAAAAACCATAACTTTTTTACTGATATGAAGTACCAAAGCCGACAAAACCTGGACGAAATACGCGAGACAACTAAAAGTAAACAACGCGGGAGAGTGTTTTAAATTAGCAATGAAATGCGGCTAGCCACGTGGGCTAGCCACATTTCCAATTTGACTAAAGAGTCGCACAAAAATCCCGGTTTATAAATTCATATAAACTGCTTATAAAGCTTATAAATTCATTGAACACGCTGTTGTAAGACTACCTCCTGAAAGCCGGAAATTACAGCGTTTATTCTGGTCATTCAATGCTGCTTTTTATGCGTGATGGCGTTCAAAATGACATTC